TCAGTTTGTGTCACAAACCAGTATTAGTTCAAGAATTAAATACAAACAGATGTTTGAAGTGTCGTTGTCAAAGGAAGAAATGAGAAGACCTCGGAAAAGAGGAGTATGCATATTTTTCATTGAACATTTATTAGCTAGGCTGTACTGAAGTTGTCCTTTGTCTTGATATCCTTGGGTTTAAAATTGCTTGGGTTAAAACTTGCCTAGTAGCTGCTGCTGTACATCACTGCTTACTTTGCCTCCGTGAGAAGGAGAGAAAAACATGGTTTGTCATATACCTATTGATCCAGCCATTTCTCATTCTTTTTTTTTACCATTTCAATCTCTTCTTTTCCTTTTGCTTTGTTGCTCAGTGTAATTTCAGCTACAGTAATAGTCATCTAGACATGCTTATCTATTACTCTATGTTAATATTAATACTTGTATAACATATGTACTGTGCACATATTGCTAATATCATGGTGTTTAATGACCCTCAATTACTCCTTTTTCTTACGTTGGGATGATAGAGGCTGAGTTGCATCTAAAGACTTGTTCCTTTGCGGCAAACACCATGCAGCAACTGTGAACGATGATTTGCATACAGTAATGTCATGCACAAATTAAAATTCACATTTAAAGTCACATTTTATTTTTTCATGTATGTTGTTACTAAATTTAAAGATTTTTTGCGTTCCTCAAAAGTAATTTTTTGTTGTTTTGCCTGCTTTTGGATTATGCAATTTTCCTATTCTTAATTTACTGGATTGCAAGGTAATCTGTATTTCATTTTCACGTAGCGTCATAAAGATTCTATCCCTTAACTTCTACATTGAATTCCTTCGTTTTCCTTATCAAGATACCAAGTGATGCTCATTAGACAAAAATAATAAAATGTGGTCTGGTCATGTATAAAGTAATTATGGAAAAGTTATTATTTGAAAATAATTAAACTCTACATTAAAGGAGAAGTTACGAGATGTGCTATTGATCAAAGTTGGGGTGGGTTTTTTGGTCTTTCATTGTTATGAAAGTTCTTTATATCTTTGAGGGTTTATCTTTAGGCATAACTATAATATCAGCTCCCTGTATGAAGAAAGCATAATCCCGAAAGTATTGCTAAATTTATTATAAGGAATAGTTTAGTGATTTTGCTTAATGCAAGTATTTTGTCATCCTATGTCATCCTGCAGACTTTAGAGGGAAAAGGGGATTATTTTGATTTCTGTCTTTCAGTGTAATTTAATACAGGTAGTAAATAACTATAATCTAGGTGTTCTCTCATTTTACAAATAGTTTTAATATTAATGATGACATATTCCAGTGAAATTTTAATGTAAGTCTTCTTAAAATAGTGAGGTTGGATAGTTTCATTAGGATGTTTTACTGTACATTACTATCTATACCATGTCTAAAAAGAAAAGCAAAGTTAGAAAATTACTTACTATAATGAAGAAATACCACTTATAGGTAAGAAACACTTTCAATTCCCCTTCCACCTCAATTTTGTAATGACTGTTTCACAGATACTGTTATACTTCTAGACTAATCTTTCAGTGCTGCTTTCTGTCATTTTTTTGATACTCGCTGGTATATTGAGTTGGAAAACTGTCTACAAAAGCACTTTTAACTGCATATTATGCTTGCTGTATTATATTTTTAAGACAATGTGTCACAAAAAAAAGGGAAAAAGAGAAACAAAAATGAAAAAATTGCACACTGCCACCAAATTAGCCTTTGTACTAGTTTTTTCTATTTGTCCAGACATTTCATTGTCAAATGGTTCCTTTTGGTCAAGTGCCCATATAATTGTGTTTAGAGTGTTTCAGTGGGCTGACCTGTAAGGGTTATACATAAATAGAGGAGAGATATTTTCTTTCCTTTATAGGTTCTGTAACAGCATGATCAATCTCTGAAATGTAAATATCTTAGTTCTAAATATCCCTCATTACAAGTGGGACACTTTTATATTGTCAGTTTAAAGTCTTAAAAACATCTCTCTTCTGTCATACTATTTCCTCGAAATAAATAATTCCTATCGCGTAGGCATTCTGTATCTCACAACACGTCTCCCAAGCAGTCATCGCTTTCTAAATGTAAGACTAAATTGTAACAGAGCAAGCTGTAGCAGAGTTTTATTAATGACCTTGGCAGCGGACCATGTACGACCTTTATTTACTGCGTTCGCTTTCAGGGTTTATATTGGCATTCTCTATGATATTGTTGCTTTCTGATCCGTTCACCGATTCCGTTGGGAACTGGAGATTTGCACCGTAGTGCCTTGCCCCACTCAGCTGACTCCAGCCTGTCCTTCACTGTCAAGCTCCCCATCTGTTTCCATCTGTATTTGTTTATGTGTAGCTCAGATCAGGCATTATCACTGTTCTTTCTTCACAGTTCTTGATAATATGAATGTCTTCAGTGACATTTATGTAGTTTTATGTAGTTTTGCTTCGTTAATGCCTTTTTGTTTGCTTGTACTGCAAATGTCCTGTCTGTGACCATACAACTATTGGCAATGCTGCAGAACAAAAGCTCCTGGTACCAAACGGTTTGGCAAGGTACAAAATACTGTGCATCAAATTGAACCAGAAGTCAGAAGTCGGTTCCCATGCTAGCTACTGAGCAGTCTGAATGTAAATGTCCTCATATCAGAAAATGGTATCATTAAGAACAGTTTCTGTCTGTGGTATCTGAAGACAAAGGACACTGGCTAAGACCAGCTCATTTCCCATGTTCCTATATGAACAGTTGTCCATGTCCCAACGCCATCGTTACTCATGTGCCTGCTCGTGGCTAATTTTCTGTGTCAAATTCCCTTGCAGACAGCACGCCTTTCCCCTGGGCTTTATTTCTCCCATTCTGTCTGCCCAAGACAAGTCTTTACTAGCTTGCTGGACCGTAAAAGGGCAATCATTTCACCTCTGAGTATAGAAGGAAATGACTGCCATCCTGTCAGCTTCAGTCTCGTTGAAGCTTATTGAAGACAGCAAGCATTTGGAAAAAAATGAAAAAGAAGTGGCAACTAGCTATCATATTTTTATGAGACTTTTATCAAACGCCTCAGAAGTGTTTCACTACTGCTGACTTTTACAATTAAAATGCCAAGATAGGTAAAGAACTGCTAATATTCTTACCTTAATTTGTTCCCCTGTTTACTACATATATAGCTGTAGGATTTCTTACCAGCTGTTGTGGTGTCATATCTGCTGTAAGATTTTGAAGAGCATAATTATACACAATTTTCTCATAAACCTATACGTGCATGCTTCCTAGTGATTCTTTTGCTAGCTTCACTTTCTTACATTTTTAAAACTGTTTTAAGACAGATTTATAATAATGATTCTCTGATTATATAGTGGAAGCATTTGAAACCTTCAATATAAGGTACAAAGTTAAGATATGTCTAACTCCCCAAAAAATCTTTCCCTTTCAATAGTGTACTTACTTTACAGCCATATGTTAAGTAGTGATCTTACGAAAAAAAACAAGTTCCTTGCATGGTATCTTAGTAAGGTAGGCTGTCAGTGTAATCATTTCCATTTAATATAATTGCTAAAGAGAGACCTGTAAAAAAATGGACGGATGCGTGTTTTAAAAGATTAAAATCATGTGTTCCATGTGACTTAGAATGTGCTAAAGGAGGTGGTAAGCAGGAGTGGAAATATCAGTTGCCTTCAGTTTTAAAATATACTGTTGTGAACCGTAATGTGTGTAATTAATTAGTAATTGGGGGGTTCCTTTGCAGTGAGGAAATTTAAGTGTGTGTTTACCATGTTTGTGTAAGTAAGCAAACCTATTTCAATAAGCATGAAGAACTTCTAAATTATAATGCAATTTATCTATTGTGTGAAATTTTTTCAATTACCTGTCAATTAATAAACATGTTTTTAAAGACCATCTGTGCCTCTGTAGAATTTGAGTTAAGCACCTTCATAACATATCCTACCAAAAATTAAATTAGTTCCAAAAAGAGTTCAAACTTAATATGAAACCCAGTAGAGAGATTTGTCTGAATGCTGGATTGTGCTGGAATAGGCTTAAGGGCCAAGAGGGAAGCTAGCCATTCTTCTGCAGTGATCTGCAAAGACAAAAGAGAGTCAAAAGCATCACCAGCAAAGCTGGCTAGGGCTCTTCTGTAAGAATTCCACAATTTTGTCTGGAATATTTTGTACCTTTCCAAACATTTTTGTATTATAGAACAATGTCAGTTGTTAAGCATGTCCACCTCTAAACTCTACAATTTGTTAAATCCTTAGAAAGGTATCAGGTAACAGTATTTCTTAGAACTGCATGCAAGGTAATGCTCTACTGGATTTTCTTGAAGATAACCCATGTTGAAATTCATAAATAATTCAAAAATACTTAGAAAAAATACGATTCATTGCAAGTATGCAACAGAGGCAGATGAAAAGTGATGACATCCTGCTGTTTCCACAAGGAAAGTTTGAGGTTCTGTAGTAAAGTTAATCATATTTACAGCAGGATGAATAAGCAATTGAATTTCATTCAGGTATTTGTTTCCATTTTTGATGGATTTGCTGAGTCGGCATACATGGACCCCTTGTGTTTGCTTGTATGTGTGGAGAGCATTCTGAATCCCAGTTGAATAAATATTTGCATATTGATATTCACACAAGGAAATTACAGCAGAATAACTGTGGACCATCCAGGCACCTGGCTCATGAGGCATATATTTTGAATATAAACAGTATTCAGGGCCCTCTGAAGCCAGGAGATACTCCTGTCCCTCAGGAACAGCTCTTTATGCTTTAACTCTCACACCTGCTTACACACACGTATATATTTATGCAAATACATATCCAGTTATGTAGTTCAAAATTTAAAAAGATAAAGCCATTAAATTGTAGAATTTTCAGGAGAACATTTAAATCTGAAAGCAAAGGGGAACTTCAGTTAATTTGTGAATATTATTCAAAGTTAGGTCTTAATTGTTCAAGTAAACTACTACAACCAGGTTTGTAAGATCTGTTCTACAGTAAACTTTCCATTATCCGTAGCAATGGGGGACAGCAGAGCTGCGGAAGGAGCCAGCTGGTAAGGATACTGTGGCTTACTGGACGCGTGTAGTAGTTTATGTCCAGTCAGATATGTGTTGTGCAACATGGATGTGGCTCTTTGATCTAGAAGCTCTAAGCTGACCCCAAAACAATATGGTGCAAATAAAGTTCCTTAGAAAATAAGTCTTGCTGGACTAAGTTGGCTATGCCTGGATCCAGCCCAAGTGTTCCTCCATTACTGCGTGGGAGGTAGTAGTTGGTTTAATAGGATGTTTATATACCATTGATTATGCCTGTTGTTTTGTTATTCAAGAATTATAGAAAAGGACTCTAGAATGAAGATTGCAGTGATAATAACAGGAATTGAAGGTACAAAGCTGTAGTTTTAAACTAAAAACATACTCAGAACGTTGTAAGTGCCATGGCAGAGTATTGCTGACTCCTTCCATGAAACTTATTGTTTACTTTGTGGAATCACTGTTGTCATTTGTGCAGCTCTTGAGAAGATGCTGGTGGTCTCTTTAATAGGTTAGTGTGTTAATAGCTGACGTCTATTAACTTTATCATCTTAATTGGATCCTTTTAGATGTTCAGCCAACTGGTCAGGCACACAGTGTGAGAGGCCAGCTCCCAAAAGCAGCAAGTCTGACAATATCAGTACAAGTAAGTACTTGAAATAACTGCTATCACTTGTCAAATTGGGCTCAGTTTAGAAATTTTAACCTGGTGATATGTTAGAATGTGAGTTTGTGTCATGAAATGTGCTGGTTACCTGTATTTACAAAAAAAAAAAGGCAACCCCCCCCCAGCAAATGTAGATGTCTCAACTTCTTGATTGACATTCAGTGTTAAACGAGGTGGTTTGGATGCAAGCCGTATGCTATACGCTCACTGCTTCAAGGGCCAGCCTGCACTTCTAGAGAAAGTGTATCGTGGCAAGTGCTTGGTGATATCAGCTGCTGCGCTGAGAACTACTACGATACCTCTGACCATTTAAGTCTCACTGAAAGCATCAAAAAAAGAGAGTTGTAAGTAGCCCACAACTTTTGCATTGGCTGTCTGCAGAGGTTTGAATTTTACCTACTGTGAAAATCATCTTGGAAGTAAGAGTAGCGCCCGCCGTATTTTTTTAAGCGTGTCCGCAAGCACAGAAGGATGGCATTGCCACGCTGCCGACGGTTTAAACGGGACAAGGTTCCCTGCAGTGCGTTGAGCGTGCCGGGGGTACCCTGCTGTACGTCTCTCGGTCACGTTTAGCCCAACTGGAGCAGTACAATGAGTTGCCCACTGTTCGGGTCAGATCTTCTTGGTGATCTGGAGAAGTGAAATAACACAAGGTGGAAATGGGCAAGAAAGCAGCTAGAACCTAGATCAGTATTTCGCGTTGAGGGAATAACTGCTACAGTTTGGGAACTGGGTGCTCATCTTGTGGCTGCTCTTGGAAACCAGGCTGCACCATGGTCACCAAATGGCATTTCAGCCCTGGCGGGCTGTTTTTCAGGATTTTTTCTTGAATGTTTACCTGCCAAGATAAAATGAACCTCTTTTTAAATATATATTTTTTTTTGCCTCCTAAGTAAACTTCTTCCAGTTATTTATTAAATATTATCTTAAAATACCATTGTTGTAATGTCCTTTACATGCTGAACCGTCATAAGCTGAAGTGAACTCGGGATACTTCAAGTTTTTATTCAGTAGTACAACATTTTGGCCCTCTGATGACTTGGCTTTCAGTAAGCCTTCAGGCAGAAATCAAGGCATCTTTTTCAATTCTTTATTTAGAATGTGTTTAATGTAGAGCAGAGACTGCCAACAGCTTATTTTTTGAAAATAAATTAGTAAATGTAACCAGTAAAACAACCAGCGATATTTTTGTTTTCCACCAGTTAGGGACTGTGACATTAAAGGAAATGCATGTCGTTCCCCATTGGCTTTACGCTGGAGTCCTGTAATTTATAAGGGCCAGTTTTTAATAACAAAATTATTTGTTGCAGGTATTTCTTTATTGCCAGATATTTACATTAAAGCTGAGAAAATCTTAGAAGGGTACAACTGCTGACCTTATTTTTGCAGGTAGTCTCATTTCAGTGACGTTATCTGCCAAAATAATGTTAAGCCCATTTTCTTCTTCCCTCCTCCCTCCTCTCCTTTAACATCACTGTCTGATCTGTGCACTGTTTTTCTGCTGCATTAAGCATTATTGTAGTTTTCTTGATTGCCTATATCAACAGAAGAAAATTATCGGCTCTCGAGTACAATGCAGGAAAATGCAGGAAAATGCAGGAAT